TTGTTTTAAAAGCAAAATAGTTTTGTTTGCTTTCCTTTCCTGAGTGCCTGTCAGGATCTTTAAATTAGTGTATTTTTTTATAATTAAAAGGATAGTCGTGCAATGTAGAAAACTCCTGTTTGAGCATAAATGCTTTATTAATTGTGACTTATGCGACAATAATTATTCTTTCTATTGTTTAATCATATTGAAATTTATATTTTACTTCATTACATATAATTAAAATCTACCATTATAAAGAGTAAATATTTTTTAAGGGCCATAAAACATGGCTCAGATCACTATGTGACAAAATCCCAGGAGGCTATTAATTTCTACCTATGTTTGCCTTCCACACTCTCTTTCAAAAAACAAAGTGTAGAAACTTGTGTACTCAATGTACATGAAGACAAATTTCATGCTGTATTTTTAGACCATATCATATCAATACGTCATCAAAAATCATTAAAAGGGAAACATGTTATTCCATTTAGTAATAAATGAGTTGCAAAATTTATTTCATTCAATAGTCAACTGCCTGTGCAAAATGGCCAGGATTTAGTGGTGAACACTACAGACATGGTGTCTGCCCCCACGAAGCTGACAGTCTAGTAGAAGAAAAGATCAGCATTAAAATTAGTCATTGGAAGAATAATATAAGATGCTATGAGGATATATAACTGGTAGACCTAAACAGGTGAGATACTATGGTAAATAACTTTCTACTAGAAATCTTTTTCAAAATAAGTACTAAAGAACAAGTATGAGTTGGCTACAGTGTAGTAGAGAGCATTTCCAGGGAGAAGAGGTGGCATTTACAAAGACCCTTATTTGAGCAAGAGAATATTTCATTAGATGATCTAAAACAATTACAGTATCATGGGAGAGTGCAATTAAGAGTGAAGAATACAAAAAAAAAATAAAGAATGCAAAACTGGAGGAGTAGATAGGGGTCGGATCTTCTGGAATCTAGACTGTGTTAAGACATTTGATCATTATTCTAAGAATAGTGGAAAACTATTGAAATCATCTGAATTACATTTACACAGGTCATTTTAGCACAGTATGCAGAATGTATTGAAAAGAACTCAACATGGATTCAGAAAAACCAGTTTGGAGGAAACTGCAATAATCTAAGTTATACTTGGTGGCACTGGACTATGGAGTGATGTGGGGATGTAAAAGTGCACTGAATCCAGGGACAGCAGATAGAATTGACAGTATTTGTGCTAAATTGGATGTAGAGGTTTAGGGAGAGAGAAAAATCCAGGATTGCTTCTAGGTTCCTGGCTAGATCATGGGACATTTTATAAGATACAGAGATGTCAAAGGAGCAGTATGGGTCGGGGGAAGGGGAGGTGGGAAGGGTAAGATGAGAAGATTTTTACTTCACTTTTAGAACTCACAATCTTTTAGGTGACTTTGAAGTATCAGTGAGATATGTAGTACAGATGCCATTTGAACACTTGACTGTGTAGAGTTCAGAAGAGGCGTCTAACTTGGAGAGAAGTAGTTGAGATGGTGGGTACATAAATGACACGTGCACCTATGTTTGTTGATGAACTCTAACTGGATGAATATAGCAGGAGAGAGGGAAAATGGCTGAGATAGCCTATCTCCTTTTCAAAAGGGAATTGCAACATTTCAAAGGATGCAAAGAAATTGTTGCATCCTCTGGTTAGAGAATTAGGATTTCAATAAAGGGAAGGGAAGAAAACTTAATGAAAGAGGGAAGAATTTTCCTTGCTGAATACTACTGACAGAGCAAGTCAAATAAGAACAAAATTGCCCTTTTGTTTAATGACAAAATGTGAAGAGTCTGACATCTTTAGAAAGAAAAGCTAGTAAGCTGAGGATGTGCTGGATACATGCGGGAGAGAAAAGATAAACGGCTCTTTCAAGAAGTTTGGCTGTGAAATGGAGAAAAGTTAGGGCTGTAAGTACTTTAAGAGGATTCGGGTTTATAAGAAAGTCTGCCTTCCCCCAAGACAAGAGAGGCTTAAGCAAGTTTATATTGATAGGAGGCTCCCAATAGGATGGGAGATAATAAAGATAAAAGAAAAAAGAGGTAAGAGATTTCTGAAGTATTCTGGAAAGGTGTCCGGAGTATGAGCGGGGGCATTGAAAACTTTCCCCATTGAAACAGGAAGGAAGGAGGAAAGGGTAGGTCCAGAAGCCTCCAGAGAAGTTTATCAGCTTGAGGGTGGGAAGTAAGAGATCTGGCAGTCTGATGCTATCTATTCTCTCAGGGAAGTAGGAAATAAGGACATCAGCTTCAGGTAGGGAGGGAAGGAGGAAGAGGGTTGGAGGTCAGAGGAGACTGGAGAATGTTTGGAATTGTCTTTGCAGAGGGTAGGAGATGGAGCTAAGTGAGAAATACGGGACTGTGTAGAGTATTGGCCACGTTCAGAACCATGAATTTAGAATGGTGCCAATCTGCCAAAAGGAGTTGTTTTCTCCTGTAGGACCTAGCAAACTAGCAGACACAGAAGATCTAGTTTTATATACTAATAGCAAATCATCTTATATTTTATCTTTTTGTTTATTTCTAGCAATCAAGGAAAAGTAGGTGTTTCTTCTTTGAAATGGTGTTTTTCTTTAAGTGTTCTCTAGGTTCTAGTGCCCTCACGTGGCTGATCCACGTCATTCACTTAGGACTGTTTTTTGTTTTTTTGTTTTTTTTTTTATGTGGATGCATTTGAAGAAGCTGAGAATTAAGCAAGTGCCTTATATCACTGTTAGTAAAAACGAAAAATGAATTATGGCTTTGACTAATGGCAGTTGTAGGTGCAAAGAAACTTCCATTACAGATTAATGCAACATTGGCTACTCACTGTCCTATTTTACTGTACTTAAAATCATGTTACTATTCTGTTACGTGCAAGTAATGTGAAAACTTACAATAAAAATTAAGACTAAGAAGGGTTGTGAACAGCATCTACTCAATTTCTGGGATTTTTATCATTGCGTTTAAGTTTACTTTGATAAAGGTTGTCGCTTTACATAATTGCAACTGAATCTTTCTTGTGCTTTTTCTTAACTATGAAAGTCATTTTAATTATGTGACTACCGAATATTTTATCAGTTTTTGTTGTTGTTTTTTCAATATAAAGGAAAGTGAAGGGCATTGGCTGTGTCTACAAAGGCAAAATGGGTACAGTGACCCAAACCAAATGTTTGTTATAAGGAATGTTCTCTATGATCCAGGAAGTTAGGAAGGCAATTTATTGAGCATTGTTTCTTTACCAGGCATGCTAAGTATAGGAGCTTTTGTGTATTTTAACTAATTTGATCCTCACAGCAATCCTGCGAAATCGTTATTTTTTCTCACTTTTATAGTGAATTGAACCAAGTCTTAGGTACATTAATAAGTAATTTGGCCACAGTCACAAACCCAAGAAATGCCATCACTAATACCAGCCATCTTTTCTTACTATTCAAAATTTTATGAGCAGTTACTGTGTATTACACACTCCACGCAGAAAGGATCATATTAAAAACATTCTTTCAGAATGATCCTTAGAATGGAATTATTCTTTTGTTGAATTTTTGTCATAGTTTACAGACATGTTGAGGTAAATCTGTCATTTATCATTTTTTATTTTTTTATTAAAAAGGCATTTTATTATAAATACATTTCAGTTGTAGCAGTAAAATACATTTTGTGTTACCATGAATCTTTTAAGACAAAAGAACTTCACAGAGACAATGATAGCAATGTAAGAAGTATAGACCCTGCACCCCTCCCCCCATGGAAAAGTTGTTCAAAGGAACCAAAGTGGCTAAAGTAATTATGAAACCTGGTTAAAAAAAAAAAAAGGAAGAAAATAAAGACCCTGGAGTGGCTTTGGGGTTATTTTATGGTACAAAGTCATTTTTACTTTTAAGGATAAACTCTTTAGGTATTAGAACCTCTCAGATGAGGTATCGTTCACTGCGATGAAAAAAATAATTGTTATAGTTTTCCAAGAAATTAAGATTATTAGATGGCTGCACAACTGGGCTTGAAGGGGTGGAAACAGACCATCTCAGTTTTATAAAGCCTCCCTTGCCAAAGTAAGACCCCGTATGGATTTGCTAAGTAACTGATTGTATGAAGTTAGCTGAACAAGCTTAGATAAGAACTGTTATTTTTGAAGCATTAAAAAAAAAAAACTACACCCATACCTGTCACTAATAACAGACCCATTCCAAAATGCAAAACCCATTACCGTTATAATTTAGAGGAGAGGTATTTTGGTCACCATATTTACCTAGGATACAACTACTACATATAACCAGTACCTTCGTGGGTTCCAAAGAATCAGGTCAGATGACGGGCACAGAAAAAGCAGATACAGTACAGTGTCCTATACATGGCTTCACAGGAAGCAGGCACGGTCTGGATCTATGGAAATCCAAGACCCTTCCTCTGGATGGGAAGGGAGGACTGAGAAACATTCTCAAGTGGAACCCACACGTTGGGACTTCAACCTGTGAGCCACTGAAAGACAGAGAGAGGTCTTTGTATACAAGTCATGGTGCAAAGCCAAATGTAAATCACGTGAAGCTCCCTGTGGGTTGGAAATGGACAAAGGAACCTGTACCGAACATGGAGACAATCCCCGCGGAAGAGTAATCAAGGCTTTCAAGGAGGAAGTGCTGTGTTTGAAGAATTCCAAAGCTCTGCATTCCCTGATGCTTATCATGGGTACTTCTACACCTAAGTCATTCTAGAATCTATTGCCTTCAAAATTAAATCTGTCATTTAAAAAACTTAAATTGATAAATTATTTACCAATGAACGCATCTCTTTATATTTAATTACTAAGAAACACCTCAAATGGCCTCAAAAAAGTTGAGGGCTTGGCCTGAGATGGCCTAAATATGTGGTTGTTGAATTACAGAAATGGAAAAGACGAACTCAAGAATAAAATAATGAAGACATAAAAATTCTAAGCTTCATGGTGTAAAAGGCATGGTGGGGCATAAAAGTGAGATTTTTCCATTGAATTTTGTCTTCCTTGACAATACTCTTCTACTTTATTCAATGTGCTCATTATGTGCACTATTCTCACCAACTGTGTATTTATGACCATGAGTAACCCTCCAGACTGGACAAAAAATGTGGAGTAAGTAGAAAACAAAAAGATATTTCTCAATATTGTCACCCCTTATATTTCCAAATTTACTATCTTGAGACCCTATCACTTTCTTTAGCGGATCATACTAGCTACTCTAACCCAGACAAGTTTAAACAATGCCTCAGGATCATTTCAACAACTAATTTCCTGTAGGACAAAGCTTGCAGTGGCTCATTCATTGGCTCAAATTACTGTACTTGTTTGACAATATTAGTAGCTCTTAATCTTCCTTGTGAGTCTCAAACTCTTTTGAATATTATCAGTGATTACTAATATCCAATGATAAATGTTACACCTAGTCTGTATGTTCTTTTTCTCATGGCTATCACTTTTTTTTTAAGATGTATTTATTTATTTTAGAGAGTGGAAGAGAGTGGGAGGGGCAGAGGGCGAGAGAATCCTCAAGCAGACTTCCCACTGAGCACAGAGCCTGATGAGGGGCTCGATCTCACAACCCTGAGATCATGACCTGAGCCGAAATCAAGAGGTTAACCAACTGAGCCACCCAAAGTGCCCTAGCTATCACCTTTCTGTTTTATTAGATATTTCATGGCTCTTAATGATACATATTTTATTAAACACAATGCTTCATTAATTTGGAGGTTAATACCTATTTTCCTTAAATCAGACTGAAAGCCAGTGTATTTCAGGTAATATCATCATATAGAACCATATTATTTGGGCCTTCAAGTTAGTTAATGTAGCAAATACAGAACTTATTTACTTATAGTCAATGAGAATGTTTTTCAGAATGTAATGTTTCTTTTGCCTTAAACTCTTCCTAAGCTTACATCATAGGGAGACTAGTACAGTCCCATATGGAAGCTTCTAATTTTTGTTTGTTAAGTTTCCTTTAAGACACGTACATGTCAATTGCCTACTAGATCTTTAATGTGGACTTGGCTATTTCCTCTCAGGTACACCTTTACAGGAATTTATACTTTTGAATCACTTATAAAAATACTTGCAAGGGGCTTTTGTTTAGAAGATTTCACATTCCTGCGGGATCCATGGAATTGGTTGGATTTCACAGTCATTACATTTGCGTAAGTATCTTCATACAGTTTCCATCCTGCAATAATAAATCACTGGTGGGAGCCTATGCTGTATTTCTCCTCAGTGGCTTCCCTTGACAGATCAAGCATTTTTCTTAGTTATCATGTGAACTTAGAATACTTTTCTTCTAATCATATGATGCACTTTGGAGAAATTAGGAATCTAGTAGTAAATTGTATAACTTTGGATTCAATTAGCCCTGTAAAGTAGTAAAATAAAGTTTCCCAAGTATCAAAGATCATGGTTGAAGACAATGCCATTTTTCTCTTAATTGGGAAATCTGATGGCAACGCTCATTGAAGTTGAAAAGGTCTTGATGAAAGACCAACATAGACTTAGATTTCCCTAAATTCTGAATAACTCTGATTTAATTCTACAGGTATGTAACAGAATTTGTAAACCTAGGCAATGTTTCAGCTCTTCGAACTTTCAGAGTCTTGAGAGCTTTGAAAACTATTTCTGTAATTCCAGGTAAGAAGAAACTGGTATAAGGTGGTAGGCCCCTTATATCTCCAACTGTTTCTTGTGTTTTGTTATTGTGTTGTGTGTGAACTCCCTATTACAGATATGTGACAGAGTTTGTGGACCTGGGCAATGTCTCAGCGTTGAGAACATTCAGAGTTCTCCGAGCACTGAAAACAATTTCAGTCATTCCAGGTGAGAGCTAGGTTAAACACCGAGGCTGACTTTACTGCACTGGGGCTACAATTACAACTTTTGTGCATAAGCCTTTTGCTTGTCACACTTCACAAAGAAATATGTAAAAAAGCAAGAATCAGGACATCATATTTTGGATGGGTTTGATTCTTCGCTTTTACTTCTTGCTTTCTTTAAAACTGTTCTAAATCAGCCTTTGAGTTTAACAGGTCTTTGCATGAGGCATTTGCAGTAACAGGCTACATGGTTTGCATCCTGTAACATCAAGCTTTCCGCATAGAAGCTAAACTGTGAGGCGTTCAGACTGATGCAAATTTGGCCATTTAGGTCGAAAACTGGTGATGTTCTTATCTGCAGATAAATGAAGGAGCAAGAGATAGCATGAGTGCTGCATGGGGCTCAGTTTTCAGATGTCTTCCTTTTTTAACCCATATTAATCTTGCAGAATTCACAAATATATTACCTCATAATCCATTGACTCCAAGATTTGTTACTACTCTATTCACATAGATTTTTCTAAAATCAGTAAGAGGTTAGGGAGTAAGACATCTGCAAATAAAAGCAAAATATTTACACAAGGTTGATGTTTAAGCATGAATAACAAAATCATTTCTTTTGCTCTAAGGGGTATTTGGAAATACACTTTTGGTTCATTTCCATTCACAGTTTTCTAACAAACATACAAGTTCTGCTTTCATTCATTTTCACCAGCTACAGGCTTTTCATGAAAATGTTATTCAATCACAAACATTAAACTAATATTGTTGGCATTCTGCATGACATCTTTATTTTCCAGGACAAGCTCATGATGTTTTTGTCGATAATGTAGCTGTTGAATAGTATATTGACATTCCTCCTTCTGGTTTTGTTTGTAGGCCTGAAGACCATTGTGGGGGCCCTGATCCAGTCGGTGAAGAAGCTCTCTGATGTAATGATTCTGACTGTGTTCTGTCTGAGCGTGTTTGCACTAATAGGACTACAGCTGTTTATGGGCAACCTGCGGAATAAATGTTTGCAATGGCCCCCTGATAATTCTTCCTTTGAAATAAACATCACTTCCTTCTTTAATAACTCATTGGATGGGAACGGTACCACTTTCAATAGGACAGTGAGCATGTTTAACTGGGATGAATATATTGAGGATAAAAGTAAGATATACTCTTTTAACCATTAAGTTGTTTAGTCCTTTAGTTAAAAAAAATACGTATAGTGGAAATTGTCTCAATTTTAATGTGAACTAAATGACTTAACCAATTTAAGATAACACATATGATACAGAAGTCAAATGATGTTTATGATATGATAATGATATTTTACTCCTTTTTCCTTATCTATCAATCAGTATGATAAAAGTTATCATTTGAAAATGTGTTATCTTTTCCTAAACCAGTGTTGAAAGCAATACCATTTTATTTGGTATTTGGTAAGCATTGATCAGGAAGGAGTTTTCAGTCGTGTAGTAAATAAATTAGTAGTTTGAACTATTCGGTGTACTATTCTGAAATGCGTTGTTAAGAAGACTGTGGAAAAATTACTTGGCCTTATTTGGTTGACTCATTATATGTATTGAGTGCATATGATATATCTGGAAATAGAGAAATCTTTCACCAAGATGGAAATCTACATTTGTGTACTCATCGGAAAGTTAAGCAACCCCAATCCAGCCATTCACTTATTGATGATGGGAAAGTGTAAACTCAAACCTAACCTCTGTTATTGTAATTTATCCTTTTGGTGTCAGTCATTGTTTTAGAGTTGTTTATCAGCATAGTTTGATTTTATTTAGGAATAGACATCAGAATAAACTTATGATGCCATATGCTTCAGTATAATTTCTTGCCATTGAAGCCAGCCACTCTGTCATTTGGATGTTCAAGTCCCTCCCTCTGCATGTGCAATTAGCTAGCCAACTCCCATTGGTCTTTTGATTACCAATGTTCTACTGGGATACTTATTCTAAGGTATTCTTCATGGTTTTTAGAACCATATGAAATTTTATCCCTTCTCAAATTATATTCATGTTTTAAGAGTTAGTCTTCTTATGAAGATTTCTATAACAGAGATTAAGACGCATTGGATAAATAGTTTTTTTAAAAAATCCATTATTTATGGGGTTTCCTACTTATTAATGTTAATAACAGCACAGTAACAATATTTGCACATAAATATTTTCTCTATTTCTGATTATTTCCTTCAGATAAATTTCTATTAATAGAATTTGGTTGTGGGGGGGATGTCAAAGGGTATAACCAGATTAAGGCTATGGAGATAGAGTGTCAGATTGCTCTCAAGAAAGATCATACCACTATATACTCCCTACAGAACTGGTCATCTTACTGAACTCTCCCTAATATTGACTATTACCGTATTTTAAAATCTTCTGGTAGAAAGAAAAGTGTATTGTTCCTTAATTATTATTGCAGTAGAATTTTTAAACTATGTTTATTAGTATCAATAACAAGTTATATATTTTATATAATGTGAATTATCTGTTGTTTTTTTACCCATTATTTCATCAAGTGATAGTAAATTTTGGAGAATTCATATGAATTCTTTAATTTATCAAGCATGTTAACATTTTGTCCTTTTTTGGCAAATATATTTAGCTTGTTTTTCATCTTATTGCTTGTTTTTGATGTTTAAGTGGTTTTCATATTTAGTCAATATAGTCATCAAATTTGTTTTCATTTTTCTCTAAGTTTAGAAAATGCTTCTTAATTCAGAGAGCATAAAAATAGTCCCTTAGATATTGTATATATAAAGGAACGACCTATATATCCTACATAAAAACACTTATATATTCTTTGTATTATATTAATAGACTTAGTTTTTAAATTTTCAGTCTTTAAAAATCTAGAAATTTTTTTTGGCCATATATTGTGAGGTAAGGATCTAAAACTTTTTACAAAATTACAGCCCAGATTTCCCTGCATAATATATTAGGGGATTCTTTCCATATAGGCTTTAAAGTAGTCCTAAAAACAATTACAGTAATTTTTTATGGGGCATATGTATGTGTTTTAATGTTTGTGTGTTTTTGTATGTGAATATGTATGTTTATGAATGTATATTTTTTGAGATCATCTTTGCAACTTATCGAAGTTATATATAAGGTTTCCCCAAGAATAGAAATTAGATATACTTAGAAAATTATATATGTTCAAAGAAACAAGTTTATGCTCTTCCTTTGAAATACAGTAATCAAGCCAAAATCCAAAACACAACACTTATTTAGAGCATCATAGAAAAGAAAAACCTAACCCCACTTTTCACAGGAAATTAAGTTAAAACTGGTAGGAAAAAAATGTCTGAATCTATTTTGAGTCCATGCAAAAAAGTACTTATAAAGTAAAATTTTACTTGCATGGAAGCAATTTGAAGCAACAAGGCTTCCCTTTCTCTCACTTTTTGTGCCAAACAGCCTTAATTTGGCAACTCTTTTTTTGAACTATCCCAAGCAATTTGAGTGTTTATTTGCAATAAATGCTGATAAGAGAATGTTATAATAGTTCTTCCTTCCCCCAAAAAATTCTTTTTAAAACAGATTTTCTAAACATTTGTTTAATCAAAAATTTTATATATTGATATTTGTTTAGTATTCAGTTATTATTAAAATATTTTCATTTAGCCATATACATATTTATTACTTTATCCATTTCATTTTAGTTGAAAAAAATTATGAGGTTTATTACCTGAACACAATGGCTGAAGTGTTTTGAGGGCCTTTTTAATGATTCTTTCTATTCCTCACTCTTTAAATAGGTCACTTTTATTTTTTGGAAGGGCAAAATGATGCTCTGCTTTGTGGCAACAGCTCAGATGCAGGGTAAGTGATGTTTCGTATTGAGTTTCAGTCCACACTGCTCCATCGGCCCCAATAACTTGCCACCTCCCACCTACCCAGCCCTCCTTCACTCCTCATTCAAAGCCCTCCGTAAATTCCACTTCACGCTGATTCTCAAAATAGCTGAAATAAGTGTGGATTCTCACCTCCTTCACACACTCATATGCGGCAATTATTTTTCCATACTAGGTCACAGCTAATCTTCCAAATTAGTTCAATGGAAAATAGAGAAGCAGTACATATGTATTAGAAGATTAAGTTAATGGAATTCATAAGCATGTATTTTGTAAGTGTGATATTTTATACATGCTAATGTGGTCTCCATGGCTTCAAGTGTAAGATCTCTGGAGATAATGTCGGTATCTGAGTCATGGTGAGTGTATGTCAAGCATATAAGAGCACAAGCTGGGAAGTTTACATGGATTCAAGCCTGACTCTACCGAATAACACTCCTTCCCCTTGCCTTAGTTTCCTCCAGTGATAAATGGGTATAATAATAGAGTTTCTGCGATGATTAAATGGATTAGCGAATATGTAGCTATTACAGCATTCAGTAAGTGCTTTTGATTATTATGATTGACACGTGAACTTTGTTATTAAGAAGTATTGCGCTTGGAGCTAAAGCCTGTGAAAATTCAGAGAAATAATTACCTTTCCCTGTTTGGCAAGAATTTAGAACCATAGAAGAAGTTTAGTGTTCTTCAATGGAAGATGATATTGTGGACATACCTGTAGCAAAATTTCCAATGGTAACAGACTTTTCATTTGGCTCATATGATAAATATTGTGCTGCCTTTTCCTCCAAATTCCAGTGATAAGTAGAACAGACTAATTTTAATTCCTTGTCTGTACCATACTAAATGCTTTACATAGACTATCTCATTTAACACTTGTATATTTGTAAGGCAGGTTCTGTTATTAATCCTTTCTTACATATGAGGTGCCCGAAGATTAGCAAAGTTAGGAAACTTACTCAAGATCATGCATCTCAGAAGTGTCAGGCACAATACTGGGGCCAGGTTTGGCTTGATCATTAAAGTCATAACTATGAAATCTTTACTATGCAGAGACATTCCCTCCTCTCCATGTGCCGCCCTCCATCCTTCCTTCACCCCTCTTCTCTACTGCCTTACTCACACAAACACTCTGCATCTAGATATCTTCAGTGAAAATCAGTTTTTTCCCTGTAGACTTATTCTTCTGTTCATTCTACAAGTCCCAGGAGATATTAATCATGATATGATTGCTTTTATATGGAGACATGATAAATATAATGACAAGAAATCTGTTTTCCCTGCTGTCATATAAAGTAGACATTGGCATCTATAAAAACAGGGAAGACACCCAGCAGACTTGCAGTACTGACTGTTTCTTTTAATCTAATTACAGCCAGTGTCCAGAAGGATACATCTGTGTGAAGGCTGGTAGAAACCCCAACTATGGATACACAAGCTTTGATACCTTTAGTTGGGCTTTCTTGTCCTTATTTCGTCTCATGACTCAAGACTTCTGGGAAAACCTTTACCAACTGGTGAGAACAGATAAAACGATTCTTCTGGGAAGCATGAAATACTGAAATCAAGGGAATTGCTATAAAACACTGTATTACTTGGAGTGTGAGCTTTTAGCATCTATATAAAATTTAATAAAATATCTCTTACATTTTTACAGACACTACGTGCTGCTGGGAAAACATATATGATATTTTTTGTGCTGGTAATTTTCTTGGGCTCATTCTACCTTATAAATTTAATCCTGGCTGTGGTGGCCATGGCCTATGAGGAACAAAATCAGGCAACTCTTGAGGAAGCGGAACAGAAAGAAGCTGAATTTCAACAGATGCTTGAACAGTTAAAAAAGCAACAAGAAGAAGCTCAGGTATCGTTAGCAAGAGCATAGAGCTCTTGTGTTTGTTGATCTCAGTCTTCTGACCGCACTGGTGAGGTCAGTGACATTTACCAAGCAAAATCGGCAGTGGATAAAAGTAACATTTGAAACATGTCATATGTGTTTGGTGTTAGGAGCCGTTAGACTTTTAGATTATTATTTTATGTTGATGATTACTGTCGATGCTGAGAGCATCAAAACATCGAGAATTATAATTGCTTTATTGACTTTTTTTTTTCTCCCTTGTGACTCCTCATTTACTCAGGCTCACAAAGTATTTAGACCTGTATGCCCTCAATTGAAGTATTTTCTTAATTTTCTGGGGAAGAGGAACTTGTTATAGTTCCTTCTTCATTAGTGTCAGTAGAGGTGGGAAAGGTCAAAAAACCAGAGTCAAACTGAGAAGATATTTCCTAGAATCTGGAAAAGCAAAGACCTATTTAATATTTATTTTTTATTTGAAGGGTATTTAAATGCAAGTTTACAGGTTGCATAAGAAAACCCCTGGTGTGTAAATGTAGTAAATCACTACATTCTCTGCCTCCTACCCTATAAAAAATAATTTAATTTGGATTTGATAAGACTTCAGAATAAGGCAAGAATTGCTCTAATTGTATTTGCTTGACTTAATGGCATTAACCAATATAAGTGCCTATTTTTGGCTTCTCTTGGATCTTGACTACAATTCCCATTTAATACTGAGTATCCTAAATATTTAATAAAGGTCAGATAAAATATACTGGAGTAACAGCAACAAGATAGAATACCATACCTTTCCCAAAACTGTACTGTTATAATTTAGAAATACATTCAGATGCCACGATCTGGGATTCCTATATATATAACATATATATATTATGTAGATAATATATATATATAAAGTATATATGATCTGTGATATGTTTTTGTTGTACATTTCTTAGTGAGATACTCCACTTAAGTGAGAGACAAAAGTTTATCAAAATAAAATACTTGGCTGAATTAAGTTCAATAATTCAGACTGGCACTAAAAATTATTGTCAAGCGGATGTGTGATGGATCAGGTTAAAATAGGAAACCTTTAATTCTTAAATTCTTTCCTTCTTCATTAGTGGTTAAGTCATAGAAAAATTTATTATGATATTTGAGTGTCTTGCTCGTATTGTTGAATAGAGAGCATAGTGAGAGGCCAGAGCCTTAAAGTTTGCATCAAAGTCACACGTATCATCTTCCATGTGTCTTTTGAATTTAATTCTTTAATTGGTTTAATGACAATGCATGGTTTTCCGAAATATGGACCGGAATGGAGAACTGTTTTTCAAGATTGTATTCATGACACTGAAGACAGATGAAGTAGTAAACAGCGAGAGAGATTTTCAAGGTTTGTATGCAACTGCCATTTCCCGTCTCTGCTTCCAGGCAGCGGCTGCAGCCGCATCTGCTGAATCAAGAGAGTTCAGTGGTGCCGGCGGGATAGGAGTTTTCTCAGAGAGTTCTTCAGTAGCATCAAAGTTGAGCTCCAAGAGTGAAAAAGAGCTGAAAAACAGAAGGAAGAAAAAGAAGCAGAAAGAGCAGTCTGGAGAAGAAGAGAAGGAAGACGCGGTCCGCAAATCCGAATCAGAAGACAGCATAAGAAGAAAAGGTTTCCGTTTTTCCTTAGAAGGAAGCAGGTTGACATATGAAAAGAGGTTCTCCTCTCCACATCAGGTAAAGATATTATTAGCTTACATAAATTGCGTTTTCATAACAGACCACTTTTCTTAAAGATATGCCAGAATTGGGTAGAAATAAAACCGCCTTCTCCCTGGATGGCACAGTACTTTCAGAATTGTAATGATCCATCAAGTGTTGTGTTTATCACCTCAGAGACTTTGTGAGTTTTACAACTTTTTGAAATCCCCAAGACAGCATTTTTAGAGCATAGACCCCACTGAGCTTGGGAAGGTTTATGGTTTTGAGGTTTTGTGGAAGACTCAAACATCTTGGGGCAATTTTCCACTTGAGAAATTATCAGCAGATGGTTCCCATCCCTTTTTAGCTACACTACTGTGCCGGGACCCAGTGACTATGGGTTTTCCGAGTGGCAGGTTCCTAGAAGTGAACAGTGTATTCTTTCAGACCATCTGTGTAGTTGTTCCCATTCACATACAAACTTCACTGGAAGAATCATTCTTCAGACACTTGTTTCAAAGGAAACTGAAGCAAAATTTTTCTAGAAGTGTAGCCAAAATTCTTAGGTGGAAATGCGCTAAGGAATATTTATGACACTAAATAAATAGTGGTGTTTAATTGCACTTGATTATCTCTCTCATGTTTAATGTGGGATTTGTGCTGAAAGAATATCCTGATTATATGGTACAGTAAATGTTCACTGGATGCCTGTGGCTTATGTACCAACACAAGCTGTTGAGACTTTGAAATTTAGGATCCTTAAATTTTGAAATTACCAAGAGAATTACCAGAAATACAGAGTTTCTGTATTTTGAATTTGTTTCTGTATTTCACCGGTAGTGAAACCTCAGTATGATTTAGTAACCATAACAATGAGAACAAGGCTGATAGCAATGATAATGGCCAACACAGAATTCACGGCAGCTTTCGGGATAAACTCATTTAAGCCCCTCACTACAGCCCCGAGTAGGTACTATGATCATCATCCCCAGTCTACAGATGTGAGAACAGGAGGGCTATATTCTTTCTCAAGTGCTTGTTTTATCCTTGGTATTCTTTTTACATTTTCATAATCAATGTTAACATTGGTATTATTTTCACTATTTATTAGGCCCAGTGAAGTTAAATAATTGCCCAGTGTCATGTAGTTATTAAAGGCTGCAGTGGTATTCAAATTTGGTATGACACTAAAACTCCTGAACTTTCCACTTTAACAGCCTGACTAGAAAGAATATTTTAAAAAACTGATAAAGAAACTTACAATTTGATTTCACTAAACAGATACATATATTTAGGGTTATACTTGCTCTTCAGACAGTTTGTAGTATATATACTCACAAAACCTCATATTTAATATGTGTAAAATTTTTATAGGTCAATTTGATTCATTCCAAGTCCAAGTAACACTATGAGATAGAATAGATTAAAGGATTACTGGGGTTGAATTTATATTTAAAATAGAATTTGTTTTTAATTCTACATTTTACACTCGTTCTTATTCATGTTGTCTCAATCATTATGATTTAATTAGTGGTGACATTAATATTAATCAGTTGAATTCCTTAAAAATCAAACCCCTTTTTTACAGCATTGGTCATGTTGTAAAAGAAGGAAAGGAAGAAGGGAGGGAGGAGAGAAGGAAGGTAGGTTATTAGAGATAAAATGGCCTAAATTTGAAACTGCGGATCACCAGGTGCCCCAGCCTCTTCAATTACTTCGATTCAAATCCAATAGAACTAATTCTAAGTGAAATAGTGAAGCCTGAAAAGGTTAAGTTCTCACCTACTTCCTTCTGCAAATTTTGCGCACAGATAAAGCATTTCCCCAGTACTGTCTTCTTTGTAACCCTGTTTCCTAGCTAGTTGGGCGTGATAAGTAATGACTGACGTATACAACATGCAATATCTGGCCCAAATTGGTGTTTGTTTCTTAAGTGGTATCTGTATTTTAAAAGAGTGAGAAACTTTCCTTTTATCTGGTAAATAGATGAATAGCTAAGAAGATGGAGAGGAGAAAGAGGATGGGGAGAGAGAGGGAGGGAGGGAGGGGGAGGGGAAAGAGACAGAGAAGCCTGAGTTTGTACTATGCCACTTTCCTAGTCCCTGGAAGTAATAAAGGAACTATTAAGGAAGGTACAGTGATGAAAGGCCCATTGTTAGATTTTTTTTGAAAGTCCAAGACCCCAGAGTATTAAAGACTATTGTTTTGTGGTGACATGATGGAAAGGCAATTGTGTTGATAACCATTTCTATTTTCATATTGAAAAAATATATATATAATGTAGGCTTTTACTGCAAGATTATAATTTTCTCAGTAGAGTAGGTAGATTGTACGAAATATTTCTTAGGCTTCAGTTTGACTTGTTAGTGTGGGAGATGGGAGAGAAGGAAGTCAAGAATACAATCTCTAATCAAGTCTCAAGACAATGTGGATATTTATCTCTTTTATTTTATTTTTTAAAAGATCTATTTATTTATTTTAGAGAGAGCGAGCATGTGCAAGTGGGGGGAGGGGCAGAGGGAGAAGGAGAGAGAATCCCAAGCAGACTCTGCGCTGAGTGCAGAGCCTGATGCAGGGCTCGATCCCAGGACCGTGAGATCATGACCTGAGCCAAAACCAAGAGTTGGGCACTCAGTCTATTGGACCACCTAGGTGTCCCTGGATATTTTATTCTGAAGATATAGTCAACCTTCTTATTAGATATGGTCAACCTTCTTAAGTTATTAGTTCACTCCCTATTTATCATAAAGCAAGAGTTTTGCTTTTTAGAGATTCATTTTTTCATGGCAGATTTTTTTGTATTGGCCATCCTTTATTTGTGGTGCAACATTTGATTGTTATGGATTTAGATAATTAATGCAAGCAGTAGAAGCTGATGTAAACAGATGGGGCACAGTCATTTTTCATACAGCTGTCTCATGTAAGCTCTGCTCTTGTATGGCATAATTCACCTTTAAACTCAGAGAGAAACCCTGTGTGCAATTTTATAACTTATTTCCCTCCAACCCTTGTATTGGCTCTGATTAAGTTGAATACTTGTAGTTAAAATATAAACTCTTACTTATGAACAAACAATGAATCATGGAACACTACATCAAAAACTAATGATGTAATTTATGGTGATTAACATAACAATAAAAAAATTAAAAAATATATATAAACTCTTACTAAGAGTGATACGTATAGTTTCTACCTTATTTCTTATTGCCAAGCATTTCCTGCCTGCCTTTTTGAGCTGATGATAGCCAGCATGTCACAAATCCTATTACTCTCATGTTTTTATAGCTTATTCACAGTCCCTTGTGAAAAGAGAGAAAGGAGGTAAAAGAAATGGGGTAGTCTAAGAGAGACATAAAAAAAATTACTTTTTTGGAAAACAATAAAGGAAAAGAAGGAATATTACTAGTGAAGTTGGTAATAAGATGAAAAAACATGGGAACAGGAAAAGGAAAAAGGACATCTTTTGGGGGAGCAGATTAGTCTCTTTAAATGTCCTTCTTTCTGTAGATAATGAATAGGATTCCATAACATAAGATAGTTTAAAGCTTATAAATGTTTTATAGATGTTTATAGACATTATTGAGAAAAATTATTTTTTAGCCAAAAAGAAAATTAAAAGCATACTTTTGGTCAGGAAGTATAAGACATATATATAGGTACAAAATAATTTTAATTAGCTTTAAATCCTTTGGAGAAAAGAAGATCAAACTAATAACATTTAAATGATTAAATTAGTATTCTTTCTATTAATAATAATAGAAATCCAACTCCAGCCAGCTTAAATTAAAAAGAGAGAGAGAGAGAGAGAGAACTGATTAGATCAGATAAATAATATCTGTGAGTAGCTTTAGGCATGGCTGGATCCAAAGGCTCAAAACATGTTATTATGGCCAAGTATTTCTTCATATTGCAAGCCCAGGTTCCTCCAATACAGTGGCAAGATGTCACTGCAACTTCAAACTATAGTCAATATTCTTAACAACCCCAATTGAAAATGCACCTCTTTCTCAACAATTGGAAAAGAAAAAGGTGGCTGCCAATGGACCAAGCAGTGTCCCCTGCCCATCTTTAAATGGTTTTCTATGGCCTGAGGTATGGAATGTACTCATTGGCTGGGCCTGGGTCATAGTCTTGACTGAGGATCATTTGTCAAGGATAATCAGTGTACTGTTGAAAGAAGGAATGAATATCGGACAAGCAAGAAAGTGTTTACTACAGTGAAGTTATAAAAGTAGACTAGTAATAATCAGGAAGTGATTGTGTTCAATGCTGCTATGCCTAAGAATCAAGGAAAACTACATGGTGGCAGTGACAATGTAGCCATTTAGAAATCTGTGTAATGATTGTGACCAAATACTTAGTGAAAGCCAGGCTTTTGTGAATATGGTACTTTTCAGATTTCTTGAGAGACAGAAGAGTGAAAATCAGGGAATGAATCATACAGTTCTCTCAGCTTGATTTATTTAATTTATTCGTGAAGACATTATAAAATATGCAAAGGGAAGAGGAGAAGCTGCTCGTTGTACTATAGTTAAACAGACCTACTAGCAAGACTGATTTTATTTTCTTCTGTGGTGAGATCTGCATCAGGGTGTGGTCACTAGTTAGCTCTTACTGGCTATATTTTTGGCATCAAAGGTTCTAAATGTAAGTGTGTGTTTAGTTGCTTTCCATTGGCATGTTAAATGAGATTAGCTTCTAGAATAGGGTCTAGCAAAAAATTCTGTTTTAGGTGCCAATAATGGGGCAAAATAATATTGAGGGGTACTTGCGACTATCTTAAGGCATGTGTAAAATAGAAGAAAATAACAGAAAATAAAAAATGAAGGAAGGGAGAAAAAGGGAAAGCAAACCAGACGAGGTGAACCTGGTGGAGAGTGCCAGAACACCAGCAGTTACCACAGGAGCCCATGGTTCCAACTTGTCCCATGACTTATGCTCAGGTAAGTCAACAAATCTGAAACAAGTCAAGTCTCATATGTTTGGGGATGACTGTTCTTAATTCTGTTCCTCTGTGTTTTGTTTGTTTTCTTATTATTCGTAGTCTTTACTGAGCATCCGTGGCTCCCTTTTCTCTCCAAGACGCAACAGTAGGGCGAGTCTTTTCAGTTTCAGAGGTCGAACAAAGGATATTGGCTCTGAGAATGACTTTGCCGATGATGAGCACAGCACCTTTGAAGACAATGACAGCCGGAGAGACTCTCTGTTTGTGCCACACAGACATGGAGAGCGACGTCACAGCAACGTCAGCCAGGCTAGCCGCGCCTCCAGGGTACTCCCCATTCTGCCCGTGAATGGAAAGATGCACAGTGCGGTGGATTGTAATGGAGTAGTCTCGCTGGTCGGGGGCCCTTCTGCCCTCACCTCTCCCGCCGGACAGCTCCTTCCCGAGGTGAGGCCAATGAAAACTGCCGCTGCTGGGAAGGGACCTGTGGCTGGGGCAGGCAGGAGTGTTTTTGATTTCCATATCCAGGAATTTTGTTAAGTCTTTTGTTGGGGTTGGTTCAGTCCAGCTGTGAACTCACTTTGTCAAATTGTTTTATTTAGATGTTTCTGCAAATAAATTAAAAATATAGGTTGGCTCTCACAGAATCTAATTGGAAGTATTTATCATTTTTGGGAAGAAGAAAAGGATATCCTTAATGGCCTAGGGGTATGAAACTTGCCAAAAAGCACAGCAACAATTAATCAAACATAATATTTAATTAATATAATCAAATGAAATGCAAGAAATGATATAAATATTCAACTTAAGGATCTTATTAGCACAGTTACATTAAAAGGAGAATTTGATACTTCTTCTTGAAGTAGATACTATTACTAAAGACATGTAAATCCTGTGATGCAACATTCTTTTTCTTTGCAGGTCAGAGTGCTGTAACATTTTTAGCACCCACTCAAATGACCCCAGCCATTGTACCTTTGTGTGGTAAAGAAGTCACTCAAAGTACCTGGTAGGGTCAAGTATTGCAATTTTTAGAGCAGATTTCAATTTTTGTATTACTATCATGATTTATTTTTGTAAACAAAGAGGCTCTAAATCAAGCATATAAAAAAGAGTTTCAACTAAATAGCAGACACTTACAGGGATATATTATTGACATTTTCCTTTGTAAACATAAGGTCTTTTTAACTTTGGTATTAAATAATACAGGAGCTTCTTACCTCTTCCCTGGGTTATAGAAATAGCCATTGATCACTTTTTTCCATGGCGTCTCCCCACCACTTTCTCCCAAAGAAATGTCCAAGTACCTGGAGTCAGATAAAACTGTGAGAAAAGTAGAACTTTGTAGTGAAGGAACCAGGAAGAATGCAGAAGGAATATCAACTTCTCTGTTAAAATAATCGTGGCTGACTATGTACCAGGCACTGCCCAGAACACTTTACATGTGTTAGTTCATTAAGTTCTCACAACAACCCTTTATGATAGGTACTAATAATTACCCCCATTTTAAAGAGGAGGAAACTGAGGCCTGTGCATGGTGGAACTAAGATTTGACCCCAGGTGTGCTAGCTACTAACCCTACATTCTATCCATACTATAATACTGCCTTCCATTGATTTTTTTTTTAACTTTCTTAAATGGAAAGTAAGAAATGGCTAAGGAAGCAAACATTTTCATTTTAACCCAGTATTTCTTAAAATATACTTCATCCTCAAACTACTTACATCAGAATTCCCTGGGAAGCTTCTTAAAAATGGAGATTCCTCATTTTCCTCTCCCCCAACCCCTGGCAACCACCATTCTGCTCTCTACTTCTGTGAGCTTGATGGCCAAAGGGTACAACATTTCCATTAAGCAAGATAAATAAGTTCTGGAGATTTATATAGCATAATGCCTATAGCTAACAATACTGCATTGTATCCTTAAAATTTGCTAAGATGGCAGATGTTATGTTAAGCATTCTCATCGCAAATCATAACAGCAATAACCACAACAAGAAAGGGGATGGGAGGAAACTTTGGAAGGTGATGGAGATGTTTGTGGCCTTGATAGTGGTGATAGTTCACAAGTGTACACTCACTGAATTATGTATATTAAATATATACAGCTTTTTACATGTCAGTCATTCCTCAATAGAGTGGTTTAAAGAAGAAAAAAATAGAGATTCCTGGGCCAATCAAGACTTACTCAGACCAAAAGACTGAAGAGAACGAAGTCTGGGAAATTCCTTCCTTGATGATTCTTACACATAATAAAGTATGAGCATCACTGATCCTGAGAAATGTTAATTGAACAAACAAAAACAAATCCACAACTTCTTTGCATAAATACAAGGAGTATCTCAGACAATAGAATTTATCAGTAATTACCATAAAACTCCTGCCCTATCCGAGAGGGTAAGATACATCTCTGAAGGCAAATGGGAGCCCATTTGAAGCAAAGCTTAGTGAGATCCTTTTATTTCCCACTCCATCGTGTTCATTCTGCAATCAGGCAGGAGCTCAGAGGCAGGGCACTGAGCCAAAGGTGCAGACAAAGGAGTAGGTTTTGAGACACTGCAGAGGGGGAAATGAGAACAGAAAATAAACTGCTGAAGGCAAATGATACCTACCAAAGTCCACAGTATCCTCGACATGTAAATTCAATAGAAGCAATTTAACTTAAGAATTTCCTCAGTAATATCATTAGAGGATCAGAAATCTTTTTTTTTTTTTTTTAGATTTTATTTATTTATTTGACAGAGAGAGACACAGCAAGAGAGGGAACACAAGCAGGGGGAGTGGGAGAGGGAGAAGCAGGCTTCCCGCCGAGCAGGGAGCCCGATGTGGGGCTCGATCCCAGGACCCTGGGATCATGACCTGAGCTGAAGGCAGACGCTTAACGACTGAGCCACCCAGGCACCCCTAGAGGATCAGAAATCTATCCTTAAAGATGAGACAGATCTAGGTTTGCACATATAGTTCTGTATAAGGCAGAAGAGACTAGATGACCTTTAAATGACCCTATTTCTTTTCTTAAAACTTTGCCTCTCTGACCAGGCCAAATATTTTAATTTCTGAGAAACAACCTTTTGATTGGAAGGGCTTTAGCTTCAACAGGGAGGGGTTATTTTTTTTCTCATTAATTTTGCTTCTCTTCTACCATAAAATTAATTTTAGAGTGACCTATATGGGTATATATCACCATTAAATCATATCAACTGAGTGGAAACTTTGCTTTTGAATATGTCTGCATTGGAAGTATGCAGGTTAATAAAATAATGTTAATTACTCATTCTACAATAAAGTCAAAGTAGATGAACAGGACTCATATTACTCTTTTAGAAATAGGGAGGATCCTCAGAGAACTAAAAATGACTTCTTATTTATTATTAGCACTCAGATCTGCATTTGAAATGCCTGAGTTTTGCCCTTTCTTCCTGTGATAATTAACTTCCTTGTTTGATCTCCTAAAGTAGGAATAAATTTCTGCCCATGTTAAATCTTGGTGAGTTTATTTTGGAATAGAAAAATATCAAATCATTTTATCATGGTTAAAAATCAAAGTTCCCCAAATTGGTGTTATTGACTTAGAGTTTCAGCACCAAGGATGTTTGTTTTGTGGATTTGTTTTGTAAATGTAAGACAGTTATAAATTAGTTCTAATATTTGCTTTTATTATTAAGGATGGATGTTAGGAAATGTTACCTATTTATAATGAACAAAAGCATTTTACAAGTTGAATTCACATTTTAGGGGAACTGTTACTAATACATCTTAGGGAAACCTTAAAAATTCTTTCCATACATTAAACTGAATATGTGTCTATAAAGATCAACCTGAGAGTAAATCAAGGAACAATGAGTTTCAATCTGAAGTTCTAAGTAGGATTGGTTGAAATACTAAAAGTTTATCTGTGCAATGGTAGGCATGATCCCTCCAGCCAAAAGCTCCACCCTCTTGATAGCAAACCCAAAAATCACTGAAGGCTGAGAATCTGATGGGCTTTCAAACACTTCCCAAGAATGTTGATTTCAGCAATATCTTAATGAGCTGTTCTCATCTGGCAGACATTTAGTTAAGTAGTACCTGTTATAGGAACACTTTGGGGTTTGCTACCCTTAAGAATAATAGTTATTTTATCTAAAATTTTATTTTTAGGGCACAACTACTGAAACAGAACTAAGAAAGAGACGGTCCAGTTCTTATCATGTTTCCATGGATTTGCTGGAAGATCCTACAGCAAGGCAGAGAGCAATGAGTCTAGCCAGTATTTTGACCAACACCATGGAAGGTATGTCAAAAGTCTTACAGCAGAGCTACTTGGTGGTGCTTCGGTAATGATGCAAAAAAAATACGTCCATAAATTCAAAGAGAATTCTTCCTGACTTTGTATCACATCAGCATTATGTCTTTTACCAGATAAAAATAAAATCCACATACAACACATAGATTCTACTATCTCATACAGATTTTTACATTTACCCTCCAGGAAGCTACTGCAAATTCAAGATATATTGGAATACTGCTTTTGCAGATTAAATTCTAAACTGTTGAAGCTTGTTGTGTGCATGACAATGAAAGGAGTGTAATGATGAATGTTTATTTTCATGATGCTAACCCATTTGAATTGTATTAACTGCTTGAGACAAAAGTTATAAAGTCCTTTGATTTAACCAGAAATATAAATGAAAAATGTGGATTAGGGTTTGATATTAACCTTTGAAGCAAATTTTTCAAAATTTTGTAGAACTACTTTTGCCTCTTTTTGACCAGAGTTTTACAATATATCAGCTCTTTCCTTAGTTGCAGATTGCATATCTGAGTAGTTAACATATTTGTTTAGCGGTCTGGATCTTATAATGCCAAAATAAGGACTTTGGGGACAGCTTGATCTGTGATCGATTCTTGGTTCTGCTACATGATAAATGTGTTAATTTATGACTCCAAACTTCAGGTTTTTTTATTAGTAAAATGCAGATAATGAGGTCTAGGCATCAGGTTGTTGTAAGAATTGAGACATCATGTATAAAACACCTATGTATCTGGAATGTAGAAGGCAGTCAGTAAATATTATCATTATTGTCGTTCTACTTTCATTGTTTTTAATACACTTTTGTGTCTTTCCACACTAAGTGAATTTAAATGTGAACTATCAACTTCAACTACTTGAAAAATACTTTCATATAAAATATATTCTATGCTCCTTCCTTGCCCTCCATCTCTCTTCTCTCCCTTCTCTTTTAGAGCCCCCTCTTTCTGCCCTCTCCCAGGTTGTGTGTGTGTGTGTGTGTGTAGATGTGTCAAAGGGAAAAGAAAGATGGTGAATGAGAGAGCATGCATGGGCACTTGCCTTTCTTATTGTTAGTTATAGTTTCTCTTGGCATTGGCTGGATTCTTGGAATAATTCTTTCCCAGGCTGAATGCAAAGATTTTTTGATACTAATACAAGTACCAAAAGCCTAAAATTCACAGCCAGAAAAAACCCACAGTGTAGATGGCTGAATATATATCACAGCCATGTCAATATTACAAGACCCAATTTTCATAATATCTTAATGCAGTATCAGAAATCTTCTTCCTGATTTCTATGGAATATTAAACTCAGTACGTTCTTCCCCAACCTCGCCTGCATTAGCTTGCACTCCCTCTTCTCCCCCAGCTGCCAGTAGCTTGCTCCTCCCTGTCCCTCCAGGTAAATCTTTTGAAGATTCTCTGGTCTTCTGCTCCTTGCCATAGCAAAACCACTGAGAGGAAGCTGCCAGTGGTTCTGCTACCGATGTCAGCAGCATGTCTGCTCCCTAAAGCAAGAAGTAGAGAAGGAGACAGGGTAAGTCTAAATCAACAGTCCTAACTTTGCACTTCTGATACCATTAAGTTTGAGCTAACGTAAGAAATTACTTGAAAAACATCAATCCACCACAAGACTGGACTTGTCCACTAATTAAGATAGAGTTCAAAATGAGTGTATCCACATGGCTCTCCACTGAAATGTGTCTCAGTGGAGTTGCCTAGGATGTCCTAGAAATACATATAATTTAAGAAGCAGAAGACTGAGTGTTTGGCTTAATACCTGCAGAGCTTTTTGACTTTATACTTTTGTGAGGGACAATGGCAACATTTTCATTCTGTTTTTCATTGGTTATATAGAATATAAACCTTTTCTTTATTCAATTGTATCTAAAAATTTTGAATGTGACATTGATTTAGGTTGGTTGTTAACAATACTTCACATACACATGCATATATTAGAGCTGTCTTAGATAGTCCTTCCTTTTTTTGGTCCTGCTAACAGTGGAAAGGTTTCTTAAGTTGACATAATTTGTTTATTTGGGGATCCTTTCTTCTAAGTCTAATCATGGTTCATGGTTTAGTTTACTTCCCCCCCACACCTCTCTTTTTTTTTTTTTTTTTTTTTTGAACCAGGCTTGTTGATCCAGCTGGCTGGCATCTTTTGTTTTCCTTCTTTTGAACTGCAGTCAAGTCTCCATTGTCCAGGGTAATGAATAGCCTCCTACTTAATGAAACTGTAGGAGATGAGCAAAAATGAATTGTTTGCTTTTCAAGTTTTCAATGCAAAAACCATATATAAATGTTTCCTGGTCACATCCTTGGGAAGGGTAGTGGGAGGGTAAATTATAAACACCTGAGGAATTGAGGAGAACCAGCAAAATATCTAAACTTGGATGTAAGTGAATCTCAGTGCGGATAATCCACACAGGAATAATGGAAAGATGGCTGTTGTTCTTTCCTGAGTGCTTTGTTTTGTTTTAAAATGTAAGATTCTTCTCTCTCTCCCTCTTTTTCTCTCTCTCTCTCTTTCATTCTCTTTCTCTGGCATGAATAATTGAATGATTTTATTTTAGAACTAAAACAATTTTGATCCACTTTTTCCTGGTGTCAAGATGAGCAACACTGGCTGAATTTTCCCCTTTGAACTTTTCTCTGGTTTGTTTTTTTTCTACACAATTCCTGTTTGCTTCTCTTTACCTGCTAAATGACAAGTAGCATTAAAAAAAATACTTATTCTGACTGTACACAGGCCAAGAGTTATTATTTTATTTCTCTTTTGTTAGTTACTATAAATGATATCTTTTTATCTTCAGTATAAACAGGGCATTGTTTAGGAGTCTTAAAAGCATCTATGCAGTAACTGGTTATAGATATTATATTTTTCCTCTGATTTGCACCTCAACTATTCTTTATTATTTACAAAATTACATATTAAGAAAAAGAGAAATAAACTGTGTACTTGAAGAATTTTAGTATCTAAAGAGACAATTGAAGAATCTACCTACCCTGATGGATTTCTGTTAAAAATAATCAGGAAATTAATTTACTTTCGGGAAGTAGCGAACTTACAGCATTAGTTAGTAGTGAATGTTTATCAGCAAAGCAAAAAATCATTAACTATGGTTGTGTTTATGCATTCAATATGCTGTTTTCTCACCCACAAAGTTTATCTTCTAGTGAACTGTATCTGGTTTGAAGGGATACTCCAGTTGCTACAGTAGTAATACTAAGGTAACTGACCAGAGTCAAATATACCATGAACGAAAAAAGAATCTTTCCCTTTATATTAGTTCTAAGAAGTGGTGATCTCGTATTTGGCAGAGCAGATAACCAGGTGTGAAGTAATGATATGGGCAGAAAACCAGTTCTGCATTCTTTTTCCACTCAAGAGTTGATTAGAAGATCATCTTACCAAAGAAAATAATAGTTTCCCACTTCTTATTTTCTAAAATTCTTTGCCAGTATTTACCAAGTTTCAGGATTTTGAGTATCACCTTAAAGAGCTATGCAAGGCTGTCTTCTTTCTCCTGTTATTCAGTTGAAATGTTTCTTGAAATCATTGTACTTTTTTCTTAAATAAATGTATTATGATATGAAATTTTATATCATAGGTGTGGTATGATAGTTATACACTTTAATACATTAAAATAAATTCACACCATGAAAATTTATGAATTCTACATATGTCCCACCTAAAATCCTCTTATGTTTTACCATTAGCGCATAAGTCTCAATTGAAACATTGATTTATGCTAACAGTGAGTATCCCGGTTTCTTAATATGCATATTTTCTCTTCTTTTATGCACTCTAGTTAAATAAAGAAACTTAGAGAAAAAGAATCTTACTGAATTCAATATGCAAGCCTATATCTAAAAAAGCTTAACTGGAAACTCTTTGACTAAGACTGGTGACGCTGACCAAATTATTAAAAGACCCAAAATACATATCTAATCCAAGAAACTGAGATTCAACCTGACTGATAAAAGTTTTAGGACATCTCCTGAGAAAGGAGTTCTTTGATTAAATATATATGCATCTGGCTCTATCTGGAGCATGGATGAGCTTAACCCAAGTCCTCCCCATTAGTTTCAAATACACTTGAAGATAATTTTTGAACAGTTTAATATTGCAGATAGAATCTGGGAAACTATGTGTAGCCCAGATAGATTTGGAAAGTTTGCTTGCCTTTCTGTGCCCATGTTTTTATGACAGCTAACCCATGTTAGGTCTTTTCCTGTTCCACCATCAGATTAACCCATTAATACCTTTTGACAACTTTAGATTTCTAAAAAAATCACTTTCAATTTAAACCAAATGCTGCCTAATAGAAAGTAAGCAGTTTTCATGAGTATTCTAACTTTTTTCTTCCAGAACTTGAAGAATCCAGACAGAAATGCCCACCCTGCTGGTACAAATTTGCTAACATGTGTTTGATATGGGACTGCTGTAAACCATGGTTAAAGGTGAAACATCTCGTCAACCTGGTTGTGATGGACCCGTTTGTTGATCTGGCCATCACCATCTGCATTGTCTTAAATACACTCTTTATGGCCATGGAGCACTATCCTATGACAGAGCAATTCAGCAGTGTGCTGTCAGTCGGGAACCTGGTAAGACTCACTTGAGGGTCCTTTTCCCCTTGAAAGAGTTCATGATTGCCTTAATGAATTTCATATGTCACCTTCAAGTTAAATGTGTATTAATTGGCCATGTACACCTGGACAGCAAAAGCTAACATCCCTTTTTTTATAACAAAAATATATTGCTGCAGTTAAGCAGTGCAAAAGAGTGAAAGATTTTACGTACAATTTGATTAGGAATTAAATTTGATTAGAAAGATGATTATGAATTATAGAGGACATTTGTCTATGGTAACAAGATTGTGATGTGTTTCTGAGGTAGTTAGAATAAATTCTTAATGACATGACCACATTTGTCAAATTATAAAATATGCCAAGTCAGATAATTTTGGAAATATCATTTATAAACACTGAAGATGGAATCTTTGGGGAGGAAATAGCACATAGAGATAATTATTTCTGTTTGAATTTCTCCTATAAATTTAGGAATTTGTAATGATAAATTTTTGCATACATTTTCACTTAAAAATCTGTATTAACATTCATTGGATATATGGTAGAGTGACAGAAAGGAAAGCGAAGAGATCTTATACAGAGAAACAAAAACTCAGGCAACAAAAATATACTGATACTGATGTAAGAGGCTTAAGTTTTCGTGCACCTTCCAACTTGAGAAATGAAATTGACATGAGCTCCCTCTCTCTAGGTTCCCATAAATTCAGTCCTAAGGCAGATACTATGATTGTCTGTATTTTACAATTGGGGAAACTGTACCCATAAGAAATTGACAGAGCAATGGAAAATCTGAATACTATATGAGACTCTGAAAGCTATTGCAGAGAATATCATAAACTGTAGTCGGAAATCACAGAATTGTGGGATAGGAAAGAATAATAACATTACCTGGTCCAAATTTTCACCTATATGGGAACCACTTCAATATTATCTCTAAAAAATGAGCAAGGGCTGGAAGAAAGCTTAGTGGAGGTGGGTATTAAGAAACAACTCAAATGGACATGAGCAAAAATAAAGAGAATTCATTGCCTCAAGTAGCTAACACCCATTTGGGCATAGCTCCAGGTTTTAACCTGTATAGATTCTGTTTCTCAAGCAATGTCACTTGGGAGTCATTTTCTGACCCTACTTCTTCCCAATAATTGGTTTCCTTTGTCTCTGGCTGGGTATTCTATTGGTGACAACATCCCACCAACTTTTATCCTACCAGCATAGATTCCTGAACAGAAGGATTGCGCTTCCTAACTAGTTGCTTAACAAAGGTCTAAGAATTCATGATTATTGGCCTGGTTTGAGTAACATGACCATTTCTAAGCCAGTCAGTTACTCTGGTTCTAGAATTAGAATGCCCTATTTGGCCAAACCGGAACCATTTCTTATCACTGAAGACAGAGTAAATGAGTGGAATTAATAAAGAAAAAAAAAATCAGTTCTGCCATTTCTAGATGAAGAGAGAGTAGATGCTGGAAAGACAAAAACAACAAATGGACAATTTAAACTGGGACTTGTCTTATGTGTTAAGGAAAGCAAGGTTTGATTTGAGGTGAATCATGGAATAGTAGAAAATATATGCACAGGATATACACATTCTTGTCAAGTGCATATGAAATAGTCCCCACGATAAGCCGTATGTGAGGTTATAAAACAGGCCTCAATAAACTCAAAAAGATTGAAATCACACAATGTACTTTTCTGACAAAAATGGAATGAAATTAGAACTCAATAACAAATAAATTTGGAACATTTACAAACATGTGGAAATTAAAAAACTTCTCCTAAATACAATGGGTTAAAGAAGAAATCACAAGAGAGATTTCTTAGAAATACTTTGAAATGAATGAAAATGAAAACTCACCAAACTGAAACTTATGAAGTGCAGTTGACAACAATGATTAAGCTGAACCTTTCATGTAAGAAAATAAAAATGACAATATTAATTTTATGGTCTTAATTCATGTACTCCTCATCACTTAATAAACCTTAAATATAGTAAACAATTAAATATTGATTTGAGTACAAACCATTTGAGGTTAGTGATTTGCTGGACCTAAACCAATTTTTAAAATTTGTAATTTAACTGTGGTTTGTTGGGACTAAGTTAAATTGCTCAATAATTATTTATGTTTTCAAGAGTATTCACTTGTGTAATAACATTTCTCACTTAGGTCTTCACTGGGATCTTCACAGCAGAAATGTTTCTCAAGATAATAGCCATGGATCCATATTATTACTTTCAAGAAGGCTGGAATATTTTTGATGGTTTAATCGTGAGCCTTAGTTTGATGGAACTTGGTTTGGCAAATGTCGAAGGATTGTCAGTTCTCCGATCATTTCGGCTGGTAAATTAACTAGGAGTATCCATAATGTTTTTATAATTAATTTAATCAGACTTCTCTCTTATCTAGTAAGAATAAGAATTATAAGATCTCCCATAGTTAAATATTATTTGAATATATCTGAAAGCAAACCGGATTCCTCTACAACCGGCTGATAATTTGTTCTTCATCATAGCTTTAACAGATAGATGAAGTTTATTCAAATGAACAACCAACTGTTCTGTCTTTAGTAATTAAATGGCAGGGCTAATAGTGAGGGAGAAAAAAGGATTCATATATAAATCCAAATACAACTAAAGAACACAATATTCATCTTTCAGTTATGTGAAGCGTGCTTAACTGTGCATAAGACTTTGAGACTTAGGATGAGCTCACCTTTCTCTCAGAGGCTCAGGAATTATGGAGTTGCCCACTTTGCCCCCATAGAAGTCAAGACTTGAGACTGGGTAGAGTGTGCAAGGGAAGAAGGTGGAGTTCCCCACACATTTGCCCCTTCAGCCAGCTTGGAAGTCACCAGATCTAGTCCTGAGCAGACTTGCCTATATTATGTTTTGTTAATTTTAAAGAAGGAGTCTTTTATTTGATCTTTATATTCATCAGTTCATGAATCTTTTAAAATTAAGAGACAAAATATCAGTTGACACATTTCCATTTAAAGTGTGATATGTTTTATCATGCTGTTACTTTGAGTTGGCTCTTTTTGTGATTTATTTTCAATTAACAGAGGTGGTAGATAGTTACTAAAGACAGGTTCCTATCGGTAACGTATTAATCATGATTAGATTCAAGACTTTGCTGTGAAGTTTATTTAGAATTTCCCATACCACCTCAAAGATGAAATTTGAGTTGAGATCCTTAGAGCTATGGTTTCCTTCCCTAGTTGTCATGGATAGCTGTGAATCTAATTTGAAGCTAGAAGGATGCAAAAAACAGAGCAAAAATTAAAAATGATTATATAACAAAAAATATGGGCAACTACTTAAAAAATGTTTAGTAAATCTTTGTGATGATGTGATGCAATTCGGGGAAATAGGAAGCATATTAGCATTAGCGTTTTGCTTAGTCTGTAGGCTCTTTTGCATTAATTATTCTCTGGGAATAAATTAAACATTTTGGTGCATAACCACTCCTTTGGGTCACTTAGATGCCATTAAATAATGCACTACTCTTGGCCTGACATTTACTGAAGCACCAGAAATAAAATGCTGCTGCAGTTGAAATGTAAATGGTACCTTAGAGGACTCCATGAGCTCATACAACTGACACATCAAGTACAGTGGTGGCAAGCCATTTACACACTATAATGAACTGATTGATTAAGTCACTGAAGACACATAAGAGTTGACAAAATACAGCTTTTTACTTAAGTCCAAGTATTTCTTATTCGAATGCAGTAGTTGCAGTAGTCCCCTCCCCCTTATCTGTGGGAATATGTTTCATGACCCCCAGTGGATGAAACTGTGGATAGTACTGAACCCTATATATACTGTTCTTCCCTATACATACACATCTGTGATAAAATTTAATTTATAAATTAGGCGCAGTAAGAGATTAACAATAATAAGTAATAATAAAATAGAACAATTACAACAATATGCTCTTAGTAAAAGTTATCTGAATGTGGTCTCTTTCTCAAAATATCTTATTGTATTGTACTCACCCTTCTTCTAGTGATGATATGAGATGATAAAATGCTTATGTGTTGAGATAAAGTGAGGTAAATGACATAGGCCTTGTGACATAGTGTTAGGCCACTAAGAAGGAGGAAAAAGCATCATCTGCTTCCAGACTGTGGTTGACCATGGTTAACCATGATTAACAGAAAATGAAAATGCAAACAAGGGCAGGGGGGACTCTGGTGTAATAAATCTCCTTTAAAATAGAGCTTGATGTTACAGCAAACTTATGATATAGCAAGATTAAAGCAATCTAAAGATTTAAGAAATTAGTTTTTTCTCTTGTAACTTACATAATTTGTGTTAATTTTATCTGTACTTATGCATCTCAAGTACACTAAAAAATATATCCACTTTGAGCTTTTAAATAATGACAGCCTCAGCTTCTGTGAATCAGTCTCTGCCAATTAATCACCGTTAATCTTAGCTCTATCAGTTCCCTATGGAAAACAACAAAAAAAAATCTTACATATACTTATGTAAGATTCTGGAAATTTTGGTATATCTTATCATTAAGATGCCAATAAGAACTGTATATTTGTTTTATTTATAAAATAGACTATTTTAGAATGAAAAATAACCCATGGTATTAAATAACTGATACATTTGCTAGATAGTAGTTTGACATGCAAATAATCCAACACCCTATAATTGAGACAATTATGCCATAGATTTTCCCTGTAAATAAATTTACAGATTCTTTAGAGGGCAGGGCACTAATAGCCATCTCACTTTTGTTTCCAGCTCCGAGTTTTCAAATTGGCAAAATCCTGGCCCACCCTGAATATGCTGATAAAGATCATTGGCAACTCAGTAGGGGCTCTTGGTAACCTCACCTTGGTGCTGGCCATCATCGTCTTCATTTTTGCCGTGGTCGGCATGCAGCTCTTTGGTAAGAGCTACAAAGAATGTGTCTGCAAGATCTCCAATGATTGTGAGCTTCCACGCTGGCACATGCATGACTTCTTCCACTCCTTCCTGATTGTGTTCCGTGTGCTGTGTGGAGAGTGGATAGAGACCATGTGGGACTGTATGGAGGTTGCTGGCCAAACCATGTGCCTTACTGTCTTCATGATGGTCATGGTCATTGGAAACCTGGTGGTATGTAGTAAAAACATTTTCCTTATTTTTAGTAAAAGAAATGTAACCATTAAAAAGTATGTTCAACTGAGGAATGTTTTATATGTTTTTGGCTTTTTAAAAATCAATGCTTAATTATTCAGTATTGCAGGAGCCACATATAGTTTAGACTATTGAGACCCACATAAACTTTTTAAAAAATATTTTATTGTTTATTTTTATTTTTTCCAGTTTTATATAATTGACATATAACATATAACATATAGCATATAACAAACTGTTAAAATACCGTTTGAACCAGAGTTGTTCTTCATCACTATACTTCTTACTATTCCGTGGAGAGGGCCATTTCTGGCTTTTATCTTTTAGTTCTTGTATTAAAGCATGGATGTGTTACTAAGAATAATCACTCACTTTATTTTTAAGTATCAACAATTGTATCACTTGAAGATCTTTCAGATTTGGGTTTCCTGCAAATTGGAGTTAAAAAAAAATTAACGATCATCTCAATCCATTAAAAGCACATGAGTTATTTGGTGCCTAGGAACTACAGTATCAGCAAGTAACACTGACTCAAGAATCACTTATTATCATGTCTATGTCAAATGAACCATTCCCAATACATCTTTACTGAGTCCTGGAGGCATGGAAAAGGTGATAAGAAGATACATATATGTATCTATATATATATATATATATATATATATACACACCATGATATGACTTACTCAAACAGGAGTAAAGATAGAAGTATCTAATATGTGTCAAAAATGTAAAAACAAAGTGCTATATGTCAAGTTCACAAAGTGGAAACATTGCTTTGGCAAGGATAATCAAGGCAGGCTTTGTCAAGGAGTTTGAACCTGAATTATCTTTAATTAAGATGTAAGATTTAGCTTGGTCAGAAGAAAAGTAGACCGTCACAAGCCAAGCAATAGTAGACCCAGTGGATGGGGAAGAGAAGACAATAGACTCAATGAGGGGGATCAGGTTCTTATACTTTACATATTAAGTAATTATTCTGAGTGGATTGATTAAGTTCCAATCCAGTGGACTAGAACAAGGACTGACATAACCATAGTTTAAAATATGTAATTTATAGACTTAATTTCCTTTCACATAAAAGTAACCTCCAATTCCCCCAAAGGAAGAAAACAGGGAGAGGAAAAAAGGCAAAAGGTAATCAATTCATTTGCAGATTTCAGCCTCTTCAATATTAGCTTAGATAATGCAGACCTATTTTTGAAGTAACAAGAAACATGAGCACTGTGCAATCCAGAAATGTGAACAGTGACTTAAAACAACAAATATTTATTATCTCTAGTTTCTGTGGATCATAAATTTGGGAGCAGCTTAACTGGGTGGTACTGGCTCAGGTTTGTCATAAGGTCGTTATCAAGTTGTTGGCTAGAGCCCCAGTTATCTTGACTGAAGCTGGAAGGTCAGCTTCCAAGAAGCCTCCTTCTCGTAGCTTTTGACAGGAAGTCCCAGTTACCTGTTGGCTGTTGGCACAAGGCCTCAGTTCCTCTCCACATGGACCTCTCCACAGGATTGTTGACTGTCTTTAGGACCTGCATCGGGCTTCTCCTGGACAGGTGACAGGAGAGAGAAGGCTTTGTTTGTGTTCTAATCTTGGGTCCTACACTGTCCCTTCTGCCATATTGTATTCATCAGAGCTAGTCACTAAGAAAAACTCACACTTAAGAAGGAATTAGGCTTTAACTTTTGAATGGAGGAGTAACAAATAATTTGTAGATATATTTTATAGCCACCGCCAACCCCAATACAATTTGCTTGCTTTCAGGGAAGTACAGGATTGCGTAGAACAGGAAGAGATAGTCCTGGGGAGAGATACACAGAGCAGAAACAAAAAGTCACAGGCTTGTATTATAGATCTGGTTTGATTTTATGTATATATACATATATATTTGTCATATATTGGAAGAAAAGAAGAAAAGGCAAAGAACAGAATCCTTTATGACAACAATGAATGAACAGATCAAACTGCAGCAGGGAATCCATAGTCGGAGTAGTAGAAATTTAAGTGTAGGCTTAGACTGTGTAGAGTTTAATTTATGAAAAGGCCAATTGTGCATAACAAAATTGGATTTTTTTGTAGGCAATTCAGAGCTACAGATGGGTTTTTATTAGGAAGCTAACAATGAGCAAGTGGAAAATGCAAAATGGATTTAAAGAGAAAAAAATTCAACATATTCCATATAATCTATTAATTTACAGAAATAAGACAAATCTGACGTAATTATACAGAAGATTCAAATTGAAAAGAGAATTTCAGAAGCATCGATACCTATGGATGACATTTAATATAAATTTGGATTACTCTAGGGTACTTGTATGGCTCAGTTGGTTAAGTGTCTGCATTCAGCTCAGGTCATGATCCCAGGGTCCTGGGATTGAGCCCTTCCCCCCCCCTTCAGGGTCCCTGCTCAGCAGGGAGTCTGCTTCTCCCTCTCTTTCTGCCCATCCCCCTTCTTGTGCGCTCTATCTCTCTCAAATAAATAAAATCTTTTTAAAAAAATTTGGATTACTGTATATGATTAAAGAGATATAGTCTGTAAAATAATCCTTTCCTTCTACATGCATACACTGAAATTCTGTACCTTTAAGGAAAAAATTAAAGGCTCTCCTTTCTCTTTTGACTATCAGCTTAAAAAGTTCTCCCTTTTGGGATATCCTGGATATTATTTCTGGAGTAGGTAAGGTAGTAATAATATCTGTCATTTTTACCACCAGTAAGGAAATGTGTTCATATTACATATGCTTAAACAAGGTTGAATGGACTTTGTGCACGGCCTCCTATAATTTTTCTTTTTCATCCTCACTGAAGAGAGAAAGGTCCCCCAAAGGCAAGCTGACATAACCCCTTTTGAACTCCCATAAACTTCTGACGGTGCTCCACCACAAGAAGTGTCAGTAATCACTGCCATGACTGGTCCACAGACAAGACAGAGACGGGGCCACAGACTGCCCCACGCTCATTCTAACAAGAAAGGGGAGCGGGCCATACAGCTATAACAGTAAATGACACACTTAGAAATAGAGTCCTTGCCTCAGTACTTCAAAGAGGAAGTATAAGTTGTATCTCACTCTGGGAGGGTCGATTGATACATATCAAGAAAAATTTCCTAATAGACAAAGACAGTTCATTAATAACTTTCAGAAATCAAATCTAGAAAACAACTTTGACACCAAAATTCAGTTTCATTATGGATAAACAACAAAATGTAGCATTTAATTTTTTCTTTTCATCTATTTTTCATCCAAATAATAAATTCAAAGGCAAATCACAATAAAATATAATTTTATTGGTAAAGGAGTAAGCCTTAGTATGAATACGAGCAGCCATGGTATAGCAATTGAGAAATGTCAATATAGACTCACAGATTATGTGAAGTCCTTACTGGATCTTACACATTTTTACATTTCCTATTACCATTTGTTAGACTAACTTGTAACTGGCTAAACAAAGGAGCTTTAGGCCTTATTAGCTTATTGGAAAGATAGAATGTGGCAAGAATGCAACATCCTTTTCATTGGAGTTTTACTTAAAGTCTTTTCTAGGACTCGTCTTTATTACTTACATTTTGTCTTTGGCTCCCTTTACTACTATATCCTTCTGTGGTTCTATATGCTTCAATAATCAGAGACTCATAAAATTATCAATCAAATCCTGAAAAAAAATTATGCAACTTGGTCTTGTGCCCATCTGAGTACCTGATTCATTAGTAAATTACATCTTTTGAGTACATACAATGGGTTTATAGTCACTAATCTTTTCACTCGCTCATACCAGTGGCCTATTTTTGGAGACTCAAGTTACAGACTAATTAGTGATTTTTGTCCATGGCAATATCTTGATTCCACAATCTTTAACTCAATATTAACATCATGGTTATTGTATAATAACATTTTTATAGATATTTCCAGCCATTGTATAGATCTAGTGGCCATGATTTTCTGAACCAAAGACTGTGACTTTTGATCTAACAATAGGCATATTTTTTTTTTCTAATTTGGTAAGTTGTCTGGTGCAAAAATTGGTACAAATACATAAAACAAAATCATGTTTAAATGTATTACAATTATCTTTGGTTTTAGGAATAAAGTTAAAATAAATTATCAGTGTCCTGGAAAATCCAAGTTACATGGGGAAAATACTTAGCATCCCAAATAAAACTTCTTTTTCTTTGTTCACTGTTATAGTTATCTAGATAACTAAGATTTCTCTTTTGGAACTGAACTTAATTTAGAAGTTTCACATAGTAGTGGTTTCAGTAATTTTGTAATGACTAAAAAGGAAATAGTGTTAATAGTATTACTTGATATTGGACAGGTATTTATTTCATTAATTTTTTTTCAGGATAGTTTATCACAAACTAAAAGGAGTATCTATTGGTAAAAAAATGAGGTATAAGAGCGATCTTGGAAAATTTATACTTAAGAGCAACTGAAACAACGCAATGTTTTCTTTTTTTTTTTTTGAGTGGATTTGTATGTTTTTATTGAATTAAGACCAAGACAATCATAGCATATAGAAGTCCATGTTGTTTTTGTTTTTAACATTTTATTTTTTAATAGATGTATATATTGATAGTGGAATTATTTTTTTATTATGTTAATCACCATACATTACATCATTAGTTTTTGATGTAGTGTTCCATGATTCATTGTTTGCGTATAACACTCAGTGCTCCATTCAGTACGTGCCCTCTTTACTACCCATCACCAGGCTAACCCATCCTCCCACCCGCCTCCCCTCTAGAACCCTCCGTTTGTTTCTCAGAGTCCATAGTCTCTCATGGTTCGTCTCCCCCTCCGATTTCCCCCCCTTCATTTTTCCCTTCCTGCTATCTTCTTCTTCTTCTTTTTTTCTTTTTTAACATCTAATGTATTATTTGTTTCAGAGGTACAGGGCTGTGACTCAGCAGTCTTGCACACTTCACAGCGCTCACCATTTTCATCACCTATTTTCCTACTGTGTGTAGGTTCTGAACCTCTTCCTGGCCTTGCTCCTGAGTTCATTCAGTTCCGACAACCTCGCCGCCACTGACGATGATAATGAAATGAACAATCTCCAGATTGCCGTGGGAAGAATGCAGAAGGGAATCGATTATGTTAAAAGAAAACTACGTGAATTTATTCAGAAAGCCTTTGTTAGAAAGCAGAAAGCCTTAGATGAAATTAAACCTCTTGAAGATCTGAATAACAAAAAAGACAGCTGTATTTCCAACCACACCACTATAGAAATAGGCAAAGATCTCAATTATCTCAAAGATGGGAATGGGACCACCAGTGGCATAGGCAGCAGTGTGGAAAAATACGTTGTGGATGAAAGCGATTACATGTCATTCATCAACAACCCCAGCCTCACTGTGACTGTACCAATTGCTGTCGGAGAGTCTGACTTTGAAAATTTAAACACTGAAGAATTTAGCAGCGAGTCAGATATGGAGGAAAGCAAAGAGGTAGGAATTTTTAAATAAGATAGTTTAACATCACGTATGCTTTAAACTAGGAGTCCACATTAAAGTTATGTTTTATCTCTGTAAGAAAATAGAAAATATCTATTGACACACTTTCTATGGCAAAATTGGTGGTAGATAAATTAACGACAGAAGAAAATGTAGCCAGATATTTGATATGCTGACTCATTTTTTCAAATATTCGCCATTTTGAATTATTGATAATATTAATATTCAGATTAATATGAATTTAATTATCTGAAAATAATTTGAGATTTGTGAAAATGCTTCAGTTTGTTCATTTTCTTCCTTTTAATTCTCCCACAATGGTGGTTTTTTGTACGTACTAGAAAAATACTTGGTGAGAGGGCAGTTCCAATTCTCACTTGGATTTTTTTTTTTAAGATTTTATTTATTTATTTGACAGACAGAGACATAGCAAGAGAGGGAACACAAGCAGGGGAAGTGGGAGAGGGAGAAGCAGGCTTCCCGCCGAGCAGGGAGCCCGATGTGGGGCTCGATCCCAGGATCCTGGGATCGTGACCTGAGCTGAAGGCAGACGCTTGAAGACTGAGCCACCCAGGTGCCCCTATCACTTGGCTTTTATGAAATACTTCATAAAATGTGATCTTATTTAGTTTGCACAGGCATTTTTATTCATGAAAAATCTGGGATCTTGGCTTGATACTTACATATAGTTTCATGTTTCTGAAGTAAATACTTTTTTTAAGGAAATGAAGCTAGTAATGACTCATGCTGAAAATGTGTAACCCTACTGAGCCCAGAGCATGCTGTCTACACAAACAAGACTTGATATGTTAGAATATGTAAAATTCTGAGTTTATCAACTACAGTACCAGTCTCGGCAGTTTAAAGTATTCTTTGATTTACTAGAAAAGTATGAGTACCACAGTATGCTTTTAATTTGTTTCTAGGTTAATAAGCACAGAGTTGGGGATAAAGAGAAGAAAGAATTTAAACCCTTGGTGTTTAATTGTTTAACCATACAAAAATTAAAACAGAATTCCCAGTGATTAAAGCTTGCATAAGCAAATAAAAATAACAGCCAAAGGCAAAGATTCATCCTTTCTTGTCTTTTGAATTGGTTGACAGGAAGAGAAAGACCTCCAATACTATTTTCATTCTAAGAAAGACAGAGGACTGGGGAGCTTGAGGCACTGAAGGATAAAATTTAAGTAGTGTAACAGTCACAAAAATTGGACATTAGTTAATAAAATTATGAACAAAAATATATTTCTATGAAGGAAACCTTAGCTGTTTCAGTCAGTATTCCCATGTTGATTACCTAAAATTACTGAAGAATATGCTATTTTTCATTCTTTCTTGTTTTAAGATAAGTATTGTTAATTCTGTGATTAGGTAGAAGTAGATGTTAAACATGAAATCCAGAGAAAGTTTATTTATTTATTTATTTTTATTATGTTATGTTAATCACCATACATTATTACATCATTAGTTTTTGATGTAGTGTTCCATGATTCATTGTTTGCGTATAACACCCAGGGCTCCACGCAGAACCTGCCCTCCTTAATACCCATCACCAGGCTAACCCATCCCCCCACCCGCCTCCCCTCTAAAACCCTCAGTTTGTTTCTTAGAGTCCATAGTCTCTCATGGTTCGTCTCCCCTTCCGATTTCCCCCGCTTCATTCTTCTCCTCCTGCTATCTTCTTCTTCTTTTTTTAACATATTTTATTTATTTGAAAGAGAGAGAGTGAATGAGAGAAAGCATGAGCAGGGGAAGAGGGAGAAGCTGAGCAGGGAGCCCGATGTGAGGCTCGATCCCAGGACCCTGGGATCGTGACCTGAGCCAAAGGCAGTCGCTTAACCGACTGAGCCACTCAGGCACCCCAGAAAAAGTTTAAATATAGGTGTTAAAATTAACAGGTAAATAACAAGGCCATAGTTATTAGTTTCACAAAATAAGTGATGTGATTCAAGGGGAAAATTATAAAACTTTATAGCCTGAGGCAACGAATTGCTGTAACTAGTTGAACTCAAATGTTTACTAATAAGGCCATTATTTTAAAATTTAATAATATCTTAATATATGGTTAATAAAATTTTGGATAAGCGTAATTGGTTAGGCTATGCTGAAGGAAAGGGTGGGGACTAATTGTTCCTATAGTATATTACTAGAAATTGAAGCCAGCATTTAGAAAATAGAATTGGGTCATTAGATTTTACTATATAGTCCCCTCTTGTTATCCTGACATTATACCAAATAGCAAATATTTACTGTAAGGGAAGTCAATTTTTCTTTTTTTTTTAATTTTTCTTTTTATGTATGCTTAATTTTAGAGTGTTTCATATAAACCAAGAATAAATTATGAAGAATCAAATGTTAAAGGCATCAGTCAGTTTAAACCTTCGGTTAAGTTTGAGTATCTTTTGAGGTGTAGTTAACTTGACATCCGGTCTTTTTAATTTTCAGAAATTTTAAAGCCTCAGGCTTCTCCAAAACTGCATGTGTTTTTGCCTCACCTCAAATCCTTGTATTTGAAATGTCCAGTCAGGTGGGGCTTATAGTAGGAAAATCCAGACTCTCTTTCTAGTTACCATTAAGCTTTTTCATTTGTTTTGTTTTTCATTTTAGTACTCCAAAATAACATATGTGAAGTCATTACTTTGGAATTGGAGGCAGAGAACTGATCTGCCCGTTGGAAATAGAATTATTTTATTGCTTTGGCTGTGGAGTCCTTTAGATTCGTTCTCACATAGAGATTGTTACCTGGTTGCTAAAATTTATTATTTGGAGAAATTTTCAAGTATATCTTGATATCAAACTTCCTAAATATAAACTCATAAAAAAATTAGGGCAATGGTCTAGGAAGAAAAATGTGCAGGTTTTAATCATTTGGTATTTTACCTAGTAGCTCTATACTAGAAAACAAAAGAGATTTGAGAGAATTATCCAAGAATTCCAAATATTCCTACCTGAGATATCTGTTTAGTGTTCTGTCTTCTAGTTATTTTTGTCTGTTCATTTTTTTAAACTGATGGGATGGGGTTGTGCTGTTAAATATCACATGTAGAGTAGTAAGAAATGGTATGAAGGCTATTGATATTCTTTTCTAAATAATTTTTAATTAAAGGAAAAAATATGGCACTTTAAAATTTTTGGAATGCCTGAAAATCCCTTTTTATAGGACAGACTAACCAAGTGGACTCGGAGGTTGTTTGGGTGTTTGAACTAAATCCTCTATGTCTTTGACAAAGTTGTGTGATTCTTTGATACCTTTCTGTGGATTCTCTAGAGCTTACCATGTTATAATCATGTATGCTTTAACTCAACATTATTTGACTATATTTAATGTAATTCCTTTCATAGTTTGCAATTTTGAATGATTTCTCTTTTAGAGTTTTAATAATGTTGAAAACATGCTTGAATGATTATTTTTCAAAGTGAAATTTACTAGTACAATATGGTGACCTTCACTGCTTACCATTCTTACTTCTCACAGGGGTAAAATCAAGCTGGAGCCATCAAGAGTGCAGCTCTGGTGTTTTTTAACCAGCCAGAGGCTCGTGCCACCACTTTTACCCAGGTTACCCAAGCAAGTTGTACATATATAAATATAATCAGTTTCTAAATGAATTTTGAGTGGCCTGCATGTTACTCAGCTACATTCCTTGCCCATCCATTGGCAGTAAAATAAAAATATGCACAGCTGCTCTTATGCTGAGTCATATAAAGCATGGTCAGGCAAGTCTGGCAACCCTAAGTTTTTGAAACAATGATATAGTTGCTAATCTTCTTTCATAGATTTTAATAGAAATTATATTCACTGAAAAATAAAAGTGCATGCCTTTATGGATTATTTAATTTCCATTTAATGCTACAGAGTTTTGAACATGCTAAGGGCTTAAAGGAGAAATGTAGGTGCTCTTTGAAAAACTTGCAGAAAAGCTTTCTCACCCCTGTTTTGTTTTGTTTTTTTAATATAACCCCAATGGGTGTACTTTGTTGGTAATTTTTTGTTCACTGTCATATTAAGTTTTTCTGAAAGGTAATCTGAAAAACAAAGTAATCCCTTATTCATGTGCAAACTGTTTAAAGGGTATTTTAATGTGATAATAATGTAAATGAATTGGAATGTTTATATTTTGGCTGCTAGCAGCATGGGTACAATTTTTATCTGCTTCATTACAGAGAAAATGACATTGTTTTATTCAGCAATTGACCAAAAGTATTTTACATTTAGAATATGATTACCTTGGAAATTCTGTTGATATCTACCCCTAAAACTCCTAAGACTGAAAGAAAAGGGGAAAAAATGCTTTTTGTATACCAAAAAAAATTAGATAATGGTCTTTTAGGTGGGAAAATAGATCTGGAATCCACCTTCTTTACTTGGTTGTTCCTCTGTCCTTTGTGGTTTTGTTTTTCCTTGTTTCATCCAGACCTGCTGGGAAACTTTCTCCTGAAGAATATTATTTACATATATCATGCACTACAAACTCCTATATAGGAAGAGAATCCTTGTGAGGTCCTTCAGTGTTTTTAAATGAAAGGACCTCCCTTGTCATTGATCATGGCAATGAGTGTAACCCACTTTGGGGTCCATTTGGTGGACCTTTGCATTTCCTAATGTTGAAATCATAGTTTTGTACTCAAATATGTTAACCAAATTGCTCAGTGCGATTGAATTATTTTCTTAAGAAATGTTAATTAAATACTTTGTCACTTAGGTGCAGTTTCCTCTTCTGCCATTAAAACTGTAAAACAACCCCAATATAAGCATATTTGGCTCTCTGGAAAGGAGCAATGATTATGTCATTCTTATAGTATTCTTTTATACTTTGGAACAAAATATTCAGTCTCTGGCACTCTAGACTTTTGAAAGATAATGCCCTGTATATTGAAGAATGACATACAATAGGACCCAAGATATCTAAGCGTTTGCAATGAAACACAGATAATACGTATACACAAGGACTAGAGAGAATTTTTTTCCCTATAATTTATTAATTCTTCAGAAA